AAACCACCAAAGGGCACATTCTGCAAGCCTGCCTCCTGGCCACCAGTTCTTAGTCCCTCTCTTCCCATGACTCTAGAGTCCTCAGCTACTCCTTCTCTCCATGTCCCCATCTCTGCCTCCGTCTCTGGTGTCACTGCTTCTCTGGATAGGGTCCTGCATTCCGTTTGTGCTTTTCTTCCTTAATAGTCCTAGGGTCCTCTGTTTCTGGACTGTAAGGTTAACTACTCACCCGTTTTTGTTACAAAACTTCTACATTTACAGTTGTGATAGTCCCAATTAGTCATGATAACACTCACTATTATATAAGAATCATAAGAATCTTATCCCCATCTCTTTTCACCAGATGTTATTTTATTTTTACTCAACTCATAGCATTGTAAATTTAATAACAAGAAATTCTTAGCATATTCCAGGTATGGAGTTAGATATGTCACATTATTTCATGGAATTCCCAATTCTTTAGTTCCATAAATACTTACTGATCTTCTAGCCCTGAAGATATGATAGAATAATAAAGAAAAATAAGCCTGCTGTCATATAGTATACATTATAGTGTAACCTTATAAGGATCAAATTACTATATCCTCCACAGAGATAGAAGAACTCTGTTATGCATTGGGCTACTTACCACAAGATGAACAGTTCAAATCCACCAGTCACTTTGCAACAGAAAGATGAGGCTTTCTGCTCCAATAAGGATTTACAGCTTCAGAAACCTTATACAGGGTCCCTATGAGTTGGAACCAAATGGACAGCTCTTGAAGTGCCTTCCAGTAGGTTCCAACTCATAGTGAACCTATATTCGGTTTCTGAAGAGCGGCTGGTGAGCTTGAAAGGAAACTGAGGCTTACAGGGGTTAAGTTGCAGCTAAAGCCATAAAAGTCATACTTGGCAGCATCAGGACTCAATGCTAACTAGGTAAATCAAATGCCAAAGCTTGTGCTCTCCTTGGCACTGTTAGGCCCCCTAGTGGCCTAATCTAGTAGGAGACCCCAAAAAGATCATCAGGACTCGAGTTCGATGCTAAAGCAAGAGGTTTATTTACCAACGCGCTGGGGTCCACCTTCACAGACTCCTAAAACCAGGAGACAAAGGTGAAATTTACCAACGCGCTGGGGTCCACCCTCACATTGTCAGGTGCCATCCAGCCGGAACC